AAAAAAAAAACCCAAACCATAACAAAACAGAGAGAAATACCATCTGAATCATGGGCAGGCCAGAGTATTACTTACACATCACCTTAGTGCTAGAAAGGAGAAGGGATGAATGAGACAACTGAGATCTTGATTTTGGCAAGAAACAAAGTAACTGAAAAGAAAGTAACAGTTGTGTGTTGTTAGTGATATCTAATTATTTAGCTTATGCACAGTTTGCAAGTTCATTCTTGCAGGGTAGTAAGTACAATTCATCAGAGAACCAAAAATCCTACTCGCAAAAGCAGCAGAGTTCCAAGACTTAGTGATGCTCTTACATCTGTACAACTCAAATGAAGCTGTTAAATGCTACTTTCTTCTTTGTAAGAAAATTCTTACGAACAAGGACTGTTTAGGTTCAGCTATTTGTGTTCTCATTAGTCATTTAAGATGCTTTTTACCTGCAGTGGATGGGAAGTTCCCTGAGAAGGCTCCACTACACTATGTAACAGTGGGCATGCGTACACATTTACTGGAACAAAACACCAGTTGTTTAGGGACCATCACTAAACTCCTGGAATTCTGATGCTGGATATAGTACTAGAATGGCATGTAAAGAGATGCAAGTGCTCCATGAAGCCCTCAAGTAAAAATAAATGTCATGGGTCTAGACAAGTCAAAAGAAATCTTTCTGCAAATTGAGATGCTGCAGCACTGAAAGAGTTTAGCAGGAAAAGGTTATGGATATAAAAGAAACACCTGTTACCCTTGGCTGAAACAATTTGCAAGCTGTTTGAGAAGTGGGTGGTCAAACAAACGCTCTTTTTTTTCGTTTAGGCCCCTTGCTGGGAAGGGTAGTCAGAGCCTAGTCTTCCTATCAGCAAACTGCTGGAGCTGCTAAACTTGTTTTGAGATCCCTTCTTTATTTCCATGCGATAGCGGCATGTGTTAAAAGCATGCCTCACGCTACCATATGATTCAGGCAGTAAAACATGTTTCCTTCAGTACAGCCTTTTAGGGAAAAGATTCAAGCACTAAAAATACATTCCAATCCGCATTTCATTTAACTAATGTTTTGGTTTGACCTTTTCTGCATACTTGCAGCCTTTTATACGATTTGTCTGTATGCATTTAAGAACCCATAAGATAAAACAATGAGTAAATGGTTGAAGAAAGAGATTTACACTTTTTTCATAATTTCTATTACAAAATTCTCTGACACTTAAGAAATAAGCTGTAGAACCATCAAACTGCTGCCCAGGAATGGGAGTCTGAATCTACTAACTGGAAAATACTGGGGAAATAAAGACAATCTTTATCTTGTCAGTGTGAGGAGAAACAATAATTTCAGTTACAGGCATTTCTGCATCTGGAGGTCCACATCAATCTACTAAAAAGCAGTAAGATAATACATTTGAAATCTGCTCCAAAGCAACTGATTCTGCAAAGGAAAAAGGGTTTTGCAAATTAATGGCGGGCAGGGTGGGGAGAGTAGTGAATGAGTCCATGATACGCTGGTAGATGAAAAGGCAGAAGAGAGCTGAACTCTGCAGTCTCTACAGGAATGTGTATTCACTTCCTTCACCTCTGAACCCACTCATGCAGGCATGTTCACACCCCTGCTTCCTTGCAAATTTCCAGAAATAGGTGACTGTCCAAATCAAAATGCTGTATCTCTCCCGCCAGAATTCAATGAAATCCCTGGTAATGTGAACTAGGAAGATCTCAATAGCTAATGTGTGGTCTGTGTTTGGGGTTCCTCCCTCTGCTTACTGTGCAACTCATGATGCCTCTGCTTGCTCCCATCACTAAGTCCCTTGCACCATTACCAAGCCTGTCATTAAATGCTTTTGGAAGTCTGCTTTTTAACCTTCACATCTGTGTTTATTCTCTGCACAAAACCAGAGTGGAATCTGTGCCTGGCAGGCATTTCCTTTTGTAAAACTCCTTCT